CAAATTCTTCTGCTAGTTGGGGTTTAGTCCAAATCTGCATCCTTTCCTTCAAGGCTCAGGGGTCCAAGATTATCTTCTGTGTCTGTATTAATTGGTTTCCCTTTTCTTTGTTGAAGAGGGTCTGTGCAATCCTTCTGCCCAGTCCGCCATCTTGCCCTGCCTCCTCATGACATTGATTTTTAAATCACTCTGTAATCACTTAATGCCCCTCAAATCTACATTATTAATATTATTGGGAGAATTACAAGAAACTTTCATAGTTGAGCAGTTGCAATGAAATTTTAAAATAATATTAGATCTCCTATCCCACCTGTTTCTTAATACCTCATTTTCCATGTTGTTCTTATAAAGGTAGACAAATACTCTAGGATTGATCAGATGGTTTCAGACAACACTGTTTTTTTTAAAAAAAAAAAAAAAAACATAGAAAAACTCTGTGTAGTTTCCCAGGCCTGGGTTAATGGTAGTAGCCCATGAGTGACAGATAGTAAATATGAGTGACAAATAGTAGATGATGTCACGAGGCCCAGTTTTGGTAGAAAAGACGCTCTGAGAAAAGCCAGGACTAGGAGCTCAGAACACATGATTCCCCTTAAACTCTCTTGCACACTCAGGTGACTCACATGTAAAATGAAGGTGAAATAATAATGCCTATTAAAAAAAATAATGCCTAAGGAACTTGACTACTAACCAGAAGGTTGGTGGTTCAAACCCACCAGCCACTCTTCGGAAGGAAAGTTGGGCAATCTACTTCCATAGTGGTACTGCCTTGGAAACCCAAGGAGGGGTCGCTATGAGTCGGATCCAATTTGATGGCAGTGAGTTTGGGTTTTTTGTTTGTTTGTTTGTTTGTTTATCACTATGGAAGTAGACTGCCCGATCTTCCTTCTGAGGAGTGGCCGGTGGATTTGAACCCCCAGCCTTCTGGTTAGCAGTCAGATGCCTTAGGCATTACACCACTAGAGCTCCTATGGAGACGATCAAGGAGAAGCTAGGAATGTATGTGACTTACTACATTCTTTGTAATGAGTTTTGGTGTGTCCTGATAGGGGATGCCTAGCAGTAAGAGTACCTTTAGCAGATAATCAGTAGGAAAATGCACTAGAACCAGTTTATCAAATGAACTGTGAAAGGATAAAATTAATCTTTAAAAACTACTTGTTGTCTTTTTAACACGAAGAAGGATTTCACTCTGGGACCCTCGGTTTCCTCCTTTGAAACTCGGGACAGCAGAGTCAGCTCTGTCAATCCCAGGGTCAAATGAGCAGTAGTGCGGAATGACAGTGATATCACTTGGATTCTTCTAAGGAACGCCAGCTTTATGGTCACTCCTTTACCTTCTAGAGGTGGCTTCTTTCAGCAGCCTGCAAATAAACTACATTTGCACAGTACAGCTTTACGGCACTACTTTTTTTTTCCCCCCCTTTTTTAATTTATTGTGATTTGGGTGAAGATTTACAGAGCAGATTCACTTTCCATACAGCAGTTCGCATATACTTTGTCTCATGTCATTGACCACAGTTTACCACAATGCAACAGCTCCCCTCCCACTTCCTCCCCATAGTTACCTCTTCGCAGTGACCACCCCT